TTCTTCCATCCCACCAGTCTCCTGTCCATCAACCTCGAACCGTATGGCAAGCCCAAAAGGATACATATACGCCCTCCTGTGTATTCCCTCGCATTGCTCCCAGAGATCAATCCACCGCCACCAGCCTTCAACAGTCCCCTGGGCGTGGCAAATGGTAGAATAAGAATCCGGGCTCGAGCCGAGGATGATGTCAAAAGACACCTCATTAGTCATACGCGTCTTGATGAGAACCAAGTGCGAAATGAAGATGATCTCGCGCTCCTCGCCGGATGCATCTCCTCTCCTCCGCAGTTCTCCGGGCTTTTCCACCACCTTCGCCCGCGCGCCGCTGTCAGTTCCCTTGGTTTTGACAACGACCACGCTGCAGCTCTTATCGTCCTTTTCTTCCGGCTCCCTTTCTGGAAACGAGCCTACGCGTTTGAATCCCTTTGTGATTGTCGTGTGCCTGGTTTCCTGTTTCCTGACTACCATCTCGCGGAATCTTTCGCGGCTGTTTCGGGCCAAAAGACCGCCGCAGCGGGTGCTGTCCCCTTGTTCTTCATTTTGTCTGGTGGTCGCCAAGACGAAGTCACTCGTTGGATCGTTGGAGTTCGCGTTTGTCGGACTGGCGCTGGTCAGCAGGGCGAGGAGACTGACGAATGCCGCCCAGACGAGTCCATGGCGCAACATCGTTCTGCGCGGAGAGGTTGAAGGCGGGCGCGCGAAAAAAGATGGCTCTTGGTTATCGTCAGTCCGGGACCATTCGACCTACTGTAAAATTGTTGCGAATTAGTTGTGTAGAAAAGGTGAATGATGACGATGGAGGTCCGCGTTGTTGAAGTGCGGAGATTCGGCTTGACACAGCCACCCCTTGTTTCATGTTAGGTTCAAGCGCAGTTTTTTGGCCCCCAACACGACATTGACGTGTCTGCCTGCCTATGGAGGATGTTAGCATAATAAACAGAGCTGAGGGGCAGTGGCGTAGCGGGTTGCTAAAAATGGCCGCCCAGCTGGTGGAGTCCGAGACTGCTGTAAGCCTCAGTCCGAGGCTAACTCAGCCAACTCGTGTTCCACAAGATCTTTAGGGACACTCCATACAGCATTCAGTCGTCGCTCTCATCCGAGAAGATGCACAGATAATCCGTAAGCAACTTCACACAGTCTTTGTGCAACTCATGGGCGGCCAACAGAATTCAACACTGGGGCTCCAAGACTTTCCACTGGGCTGGAAGTCTAGTGCATTCAGTTTTCGTCCTCGCCGAGGAGATTGAATAAAGCCTAGGAAAGTTGGGCACTCACAGTGGGTAACTGCTATCTAACTTGAGTACTGGCCTTTCAGCCCGGCGCATCTGCTGCTTAGGGGCAGAAACTCTAGGTATATTCAGTCTTCCTTCTCGCGGAACACGAGCAACAGTATCGGGGTCACACAGCGTTGAATGCACGTGATCGGCTGCGCCGGCCAATGGCATCAGACATCCGCCCTCAACCTGCCCTCCCATCTGCCTGCTCCTCGGGGACTAAATTTGCAGTGCTTTTCAAACTGCCAATCTGATCTTGTTCTGACCATATTTTATTATATAAGCCACTTGCTGAACTGGGTTTGATAGGACATTCAACCCAGCAAGTCATATCAACCCTTGCCACCACACACGAGGACACTTGGGCTGGCGTGGATAGTATTATCGACGGAAATTTGACTGCACCTTCTCGGATACTACTGGGGTGCGAGGAGTTCGGGCCCCGGGGAGATGTCCACGAAAGAGATTCCTTAGAGTTGGGTTATCCTGAGTTCCTAACTGTGACGTAGCTACGAAATATGAACTCTGCGATCTACTCCACTTGTTCATTTTCCCTCCACAGCCTGGATCTCAATACACTTTTCCCCATGACTGCTTTTGATCCCGACCCTTCTGGGCTATGTTCAGGCAAGATGAAGCAAATCAGGTACCTGACCTAGTATCGACGGCTACATACGCAATGACTAATTAAAACATGTTACGAGAATAGTTAGATGCAACGCTCCCAACAATTCAAACAATTCAAATCTGAGGCCGCGTTTGGATTGATTTGAACCAAAATTTGCCGATTTGATTCGTTTAATCCGGACCGGACGATACGCTAGTTCCGGCCCCGGCGGCAACACCAGCCCAGGGCCGGGCCTCCGGGCCAAAAATTTCAGAGTCGAAGCCTAGAAAAGTGGAAATTTCAGGGGTAAAAACGGCTCTGGTCAGGTACTAAAATTGAATCGAACGAACAATCAAATATTTGGAAATCCAAATTTGGTTTGAATTGGCTTATTTTTGGCCTAATTTGGGTTGAATTGAATTGATTTGAATTGTTAGGAGCGTTGGTTAGATGTGAAAGTGGTTGTAGTCCAATATTAGGGTAATCGTAGGTCTAATTAATATAAAGGGTCAAGATGTCTCAAGATGATGACTAGTAGAGTGAAAGAAACAAAAACAAACGCACGAACACTCCAGACTTTAAGAACTCAATCCCCAGTAGCATCAAATCACCACTTAGCCGACCTCGGCGGGCTCCGACTTCTGTCACTGTCATCCCAATCCCTATACCTCCGCCGCGTCGTCGTCCTCCTCCGCTCCCGCGGCTCCTCCCTCTCCCTCTCAATGACATCCCAGAACACCTTCTGCCTGAACTCGGAAATCTCATCAGTTTCATCAGTCCAAAATATCGGCTCCTCAGCCCAGTCACTTGCACTCGGCATCAGCACAACAACATGCACATTGTGGCCGGCATGCCGCCTCCCGAGCGGCGGCCGATCCGTCAGCGTCACCGCCCTGAGACAGACCTCTGCCCTCCCATCAGTGACCTCCACCACCTCATCTCCATCCTCAGCCGACGAAATAACCTCAACAATCGACCTGTTGGCATGCAAGAGCGCCAGAAACTGCGGAATCGTAGCAACAACACCCGTCTCAGCATCCTTTTCCGCCCTCCTCTTCTCTCTCCTGCTCCTCGATCCACCACCACTACTATAACTTCTCGTCCGTCTCGATGACCTAGTCGCAGCGTAATCAACCCGCAACAGACTACTGGGTCTCGGCCGCCTCCTCGTGCTGCGTCTTGGCCTTCCCCCACCACCTTCACCACCTTCAAATCCCCCGTCCTCATACTCCCGCCGATCCTTCCGCCCACGAACAGTTTTCTCCCTCCGCTCACTCATATCCTCATCCTCATCCTCATCATCACCAGAGTCAGTAAACACGGCATTTGAGTTCCCCGACTTCGGTATCACCCTCGCATAGCACGGCCCAGGCCGCACCTGCGCACGCCACCTAAATCGATTATCATTATACTCCAACACCACCTTCCTCACACTCTGATCAACACGCATATTTACGAGAATCCCCTTGGGCACATCCTCCATAGCAGCAACCGGCCTAATGCTCACCCCCCTGCCCCCTCTCCCTTCCAACCCCACCTGAAACAGCGTAATACTCCCCCAGTGACTATCAGAAGACCAAGTCAACACAGTCAAGTGATCGGTATTCCCAAGATACTTGGCCGTATCGAACAGCTCACTCTCAAGGCGTTTCAACTCCCGCATTGCGGTAGTCGGCGTAGATGCCTCATCCTGCCCGTGGGGTGGGAGCGGTCTCAGAATGGCGCGCTCATAAGCCTGGAACTCGCTAATATGCGTGTTGGCATGAAATTTGTGAATGATTGGCTTCGCGAGCCGGCCTAAACCTTTGACGGGGCCAGCTTCCACTTCTGTGAACGCGTCTATGACCTCGTCGTGGGAGGTTTGGATGGGCGTTTTGTGTCGGGGTATCACGTCCTCGCGGAATTCGGCCCATTTCAACACTGCATTATCTTTGGCCACTGACGCGCGACGGTGATGAGTGCGCGGACTGCGTTGTGGAGAGGATGATGACTCGTCGACGACGTCTTCGGCGGGCCGGGTGATGGTGATATTGTTGTTGTTTATTGTTTGGGTAGCGAAGTAGAACGTCAATCCCGTATGATTGGGCAGCTGGAGTTTCGGTGGTGGTTGTGGGATGTAAGGGTTTGGTTTTGGGGTTTTGTGGTGGAGGGGGTGGTCTTCTGAGAGTTGTGAGGAAGAGTCGGAATACCGGCGTCCCCAGAGGCGGGAGGCGACTAGTGCTTGGGCGTCGGCGGCTTCATTTTTGCCCGTTGTTGGGACGAGTGCCCATGAGTCGTTTTGCGAGCGGTGCTCGTCCGATTCTTGGCTTGTGAGTGTGAAGTCTGGCATTTTTGCAATCTTAATAGTTGGTTCGTCAGTGGATGACGTTTGTGCCGGACCAATGACGGGAACTAGAAGGACCACCAAAAGGGGGTTGCGTTCTGTATATATCTTCCTGCCAAGCTCAAGAATTTGGTCTGTTGGCAAGAACGCGGTTTGTGGCTCGCATTATGGGAAGAAATAGGATTTAAGCGTGATGGTGCATGGAGGAGGCCGCGAGGACGTATGCCCTACCGTGGCGTAGTGATGTGTTGGTACGGATTCGGGGCGCTTTGGTGCATAAGAAGCCCCGGACTGTCTCATGCAAGCCGAGTTCATATTATTTGGACGACTACTGATGCGTTGTTGAAGAGGCTGAGTTTGTGAAAATGTTAATGGTTGCGCTGCAAATTCGCGTCAGACGGCGTAGTGGCCGTTGTAAGCGACCTTGGCGCTTAGCTTTCCGAGTCTTTTTCGGTCCAGTTTTGGTACCAACGGTCACAACGGCCTGGAGTCTGACCTCATACCAAACCGAGGCGCAGCGCTTCGAATGGCCCGACCCGGGTCGGACCCCGGTTGATGGTTTGGGCTTCAGCTTGATAATCCGTATTGAAGAGATAAAAATTCGGAAATCGGGGTCACGTGGGATAACTACACCTGCGTATCTCTTTCATTCAGTGGAGCTTTCCCTGATCCAGCTGACAAAAGGATATTTGGCATGATGATATCTTGGCAATGCATCGAGACAAATGGTATGAGCATCCGTTCTTGAAGATACAAGATATGAAATCTATTCTGCTTGACGAAAATAAATAACTGACACGGGCGGGACTCGAACCCGCGCCGGGGGCACTTGCTACTATATCCGGCTTTTTAAGACCGTCACAGACTTGCGTAGTCCATGTGCTGCCAACTACACCATCGAACCAAATTATTTTTCGTGTTTACTGACAAAGTCAGTCCTAAATGCGGAGGTTGACACGATATGAAATGACAAAGGAAATAAATAATTGACATGGACTTGACTCGAACCGCGCCTAGGTGAACATCTATGAACAACCTGGTAATATTGGGTTTGGACGATGCTTGCCAGTAACCACCACCCTTTAAATACCAGGCTGCAGACTTGCAGTGCGGGATGACAAGCTCGTAGCACTGTACAATGGTACAATCACCGTTTTGACTGAAACCCCAGTGTGATATCATATGGCAAAATTTCGTTCCCTAATTATCCCAAATGTACCTAGTTTGCAAGATGTCCTGCACATTTCGATAGATAACTCCACCGGCTTGAACTCGGCTCGGACACGGGGGATATCTCCCCGACCAGCCGACTCATGTTCTCAAGTCTGTGTGCGCCTATCCACGCCATATCACACTGGTGGAACCGAGGTTGCCCAGTAGCTATCAGTTGGCGCCCACGCAAACAACGCCTTGCGGCGTCCAAATGCAGTGTGTTACCCTTTGAACCCCAATCTCCAAACTTATTCTGTGTGTGGTGATTTGGAGTCGTCAGACCCTTGCAGACAACAGCGCTGACCTCATTGGCCACCTCATTCGCTGAGATGTACGTGGCCGTGGTTGATGCATCGAAGATTCGGCTGCATAACATCTACATGGTAAATGAGCGGCCGCCCGTACTTGCGATCATGTCCAGGCTTTCCGTCTGCGATGGCCGCGGCTCTCGGATGTCGTACCAATATCCCTCGACCGAGCTACACGCGGTTCAAACTCAGATGCCTGTGAAATCCGGTCCGTGGTCATACTCGTATAAGTAAGTATCACTCGGCCTTCGTAGTTAAATTCGCCATTGCCTGAGGTCAGACTACTTTCATCTGCACATCTGCTCCACAGCGGAAACCAAGCCCTCATATTCTCGGAACTTCCAGGCTCCCGCTACATCACTTATTTTCATCGGACTGAACTCACATCATCTTGAACTCCCTCTTAAAAGGTACAAGTGCAAAGCTACTTCCATCTTCCCATCTCTGAATCCTTCACTACAAACCGAAGTAATCCATCAAGTTCCCAGGATGCCACATTCCACACTCACTACGCCTCATACCCCGGAGATTGCCATCATCAGCGCCGGTATCTGTGGCCTGCTTCTTGCCCAAGGCCTCCAAAAGGTACCTGCCCTTTTACAATCCAACCCCTGAAGCCGATGACCATCTCTAACACATCATTCATCAGAATGGCTTCAAAGTGACCGTCTACGAGAAGGAGCCCAGCCTCGAGACCAAGTTTCGCGAATGGACGATGCTCATCCACTGGGCGCTGCCCGTGCTCAAGAACATGCTTCCCGACGAACTCCTCGACCAGATCCACCTCGCCTATCCCGACTTGTCCTACCCATTTGGTACCAAAAAGAAGGAATCGATCCCTTGCTCCAATGGGGTCACCGGAGGTGTGGTATTTGAGGTCTCGATGGCCGCACGACGCGTCTCTCGCGCCAAGTTCAGACGGCTTTTGACCAAGGGGTTGGACATCCAGTGGGGAAAGGCTATCCTCGATCTGGATTGCCCTGATATTGGGCCAGTCGCCGTTCCCTTTGCGGACGGCGATACAACCAAGGATGACCTGGTCATTGGGACGGATGGGATGAACTCGCAAGTCAAGAAGTGGCTTGTTGGTAAGGAAGCTGCCAGACCTTTGAGCTCGGAGCATGCCATCGGCAATGGGATAGTCAGGTACGAGACTGCTGAACAGGCCAAGGCTGTTCAGGGTGGTAATCCGCTCGGGTCTATTAAGGTGCATCCTGACAGCTTTATATTCTCGGCGCGTGAGCTTCTCCTCCCTTTGCTCCCCCAAGACAATTCACTGACAGGACTTCGTTGAGGATAGTTCAGAATGTTCCCGACCCGCAAGACCCTTCGAATTGGTTCTTCCATGTGGTCCGCATCTGGAAAGAACCTGATATCAAGAGCTACGAAGGCGATGAGGCGATCGCGAAAGTCAAATCCATCACCACCGACAAGTCGATCCACGAGCCGTTCCGATCCGCGATTTAAGCCATCCCGAAAGGATCTCAGTTCTTTGTCAGCCAGCTCCGCCACTGGGTGACCGTGCCGTGGGATAGTCGGTCTGGCAGGGTGACGCTGGCCGGTGACGCTGCTCATGTAATGCATCCCAGTGAGTCTTTTTCCTTGAACTTGATTTGGCCTGATGCTGATAAACGACGAACAGATCGCAGCCAAGGACGCAATCAAGCCCTCAACGATGTTGGAATTCTCATCAACGAACTGCTGAGGGTCAAGAACGGAGATATCTCAACTCAAAAGGCGATTCAAGCGTACGAGAAGGATCTGTCTGTCCGTGGCCAGAAGGCTGTGCTCGAGTCGCTGGAAGACACCAAGCACCTGACGAATTTGGATGATTTGGAGAAGTCACGACATGCTGCGAAGGGGTTTCGGAAGTGAAGACCTACGGATGAACTGAGCATGGTGGTCTTGTCTGCGCTGGCTGTGCCTTCTTATCCGTCATGTCGCGGTTGGTGGCTGGCTCGTCTCGGATATGAGCAGTGGTTTACTGGGTCTGAGGGGAAAATGGAAAGGATGTTCAATATTCGATGCTTCTCAACTGTGGACTTGAAAATCTTAGGAACAAGGACGAGAACGAGGGGTTCTACTACTACTTGATTTATAAAGGACGAGAAAATGTGATCGGTTACTTATTGTAAGCACATGAGGCTTGTCAATAACAACACCTGGTTATATGCGACGAATCTGGGCACAACAAATTTCCTTTTTCGTACAACCTCACGCACGTGACGTGGCTTACCGTGGTCATCAAGGTCGTGCCCGTCATAGTCAGGGTCGTCCGCATCGTCGTCGACGCCGTCGTAGTAGTCAGGGGTAAACTCCGGAGCTGGAAGAAGGTACAAATCAGACTGGGGAAACGAATCAAGCCGAGCTATAACCTGGTCGACCAGCTCCCTTACGAGCGCTTCGCTAATCGGAGCGGAGCCGTAGACGTAGTTAAACCCGACATACGGAGCCGGATCAAGGTCCGGGCTGTCCTCGACAGGGCCGACAAGGCCGTTGTCGGGGGCTAGGGCAAGGTCTGGACCGTCCTCGTCGACAGGGCTGTCCTGATGAAAGTGCTGACCATCTTCAGGACCGTTCGGATCGTTGCAACCTCCGTCGAGGTCGACAGGGGTTGTCCGGGGGCAAATCGAAGTGCTGGTCGTCATCAGGACCGTCCGGATAGCCCTCGAAGTCCGAGTCAGGACTAGCCAAGTACCTAGGGCCGTCATCGTAGTCCGAATAGGGGGTAGGCGGCCGGTCAGACTAGTCGTCCTTGGATTCGTATTCGGCTGGTTATGCCGAGGTCGTGAGGGGGGTAATAGCTCTAAAACCCTGGACATGCGCTGACCCCAAATCGTGCGCCCTACTCGCATCGGCAGATAGCGGGAAGTCATGTGGTGAAAGGGACTAGACCCTCCGCTCAGTAAGTACACCTCCTCTAAAATAGGAAGTGCTAGTCATCTTCCGCATTACACTATCTCCTGTAGAACGTCAGCCGGCCACACAATCACCCCCTCACCTGCGATATCCTCTTTAGAACGTCGCGCAGATTATGTTTCAGCTAACCGGTCTCAGCTGACAATTAGGTTCAACAGTTACTAGTGGCTTGGTTTAGAAGGATCTTGCATAGCTGGTCTCCATGGTGAGCATGTGGGCAGGTAGGTATGCACAAGACATCAACAGCTCAATGTGATACTGCAACTAAGAATCATTAGTTGCTACGATTATCGTTTCTTGCGTCAACACTCCCACGGGCCTAGAAACAAGACAAGACAAGAATAACCTTGTCCTCTTGGAGTTCAGCTGGAGTCGAATCAACCATCTAGCCAAAAACAAGCTTCTTGACGCTCTCTGCGGTGCAGCTCTAGTCTTTCAACGGCAACACCTTTATTGTCCTCGTGCAGGCACTAATGATATTACTAACCTATTGATGACCAGCCAGCCACACCTCAGGTGTCTGTAATCACCGGTAACAGCCCTCGCAATCCTAGAACTGCAATGTTGTTTGGGGTATAAATGTGGGTAACGGAAGCATTCACCCGTCGAAAGAAAATCAGATACCTCCCCATCAGAAGCTTTGAGTTCCTCATCTGCCACTTCACGTATCCCTCACTCACACCCAACGTCCAACCGAAACCATGGCGTCTTCCGATCAGCAGTAGGTAGCACACCCTTTCGAGATTTGGTGGCAGCATGAACTCATTTGCTAACCTGAGAAAACCGCAAGAGAGCCCGAGATCCTGGGAGTCAGTCCCGACAAACTCGTGAGCAAGGAGCAATTCGACGCTACAATGGCCAAGATCCTCAAAGACGATGACGATCATGTCTTGCTCTCCGAGACTCCGGCCCCGGATATTGATATCCTGGCTGGCCTCCTTGGGGTCGAAACGGCCGAGTCTATACCCAAGTTCACCTGCCGCTTCGTCAAGGGAGATGAAGCCTGCGCCAGCTGCGGCCGTCACTTCAGCATCCTCGACATGGCCAGGACCGGACTTGAATTCCACGGCAAGGATTTCATCAACGCCACCATCTTCGGGAAGCATGGTGGCCACGTTTTCAACAATGTAACCCAGCTCCATCAGTGTTACGATTGTGGTGAGAAGGCTAAGTGGGGCATGGATTATGGCTGCGCCATGTATGGTTGTGGCAGTCCCTGAGGCTGTGTGGCGGTTGCGTATGGCATTACCCTAGCCTAGCTCAGGGAAGAATCAGGGGAAGCTTAGCACAAATCAGCCACGGCTCATCCCAGCTCACCCCGGCTCAGGACGACGAACGAAAGAGGAATTTGTGTGCCCAGATTCGTTGCCGACAACCAGGCTGTTAGGAGACCAATTTCCTTCACTTTCATAGTAATTTCATAGCTTATTGGTCCTCTGGCAAATATATAACGAGCAGCGTCCAT